ACTTCATTCCTAACTCCTCTCACATGGTATAGAGCTATCAATCCTAGGCCTACTCCACTCGTTTCAAAGGCCCACCCGGCCGCTGCAACCCCCGGCCTCCTCCCTCATTTTTTTTTCCTCGCGGCTATCCTGCCGCCCTCCCCCCCCTGCGGGTGTTGGTGCTAGAGGTTCTGGAGCTCCTGAGGGTACTGGCGCTGGAGGTCCTGGAGCTGCTGCGGGTGCTGGCGCTGAGGGTTCTGAGTCTGGTGTTGTGCGGTCTCCTTGGAGTAGCCACCTTCGTCCGCATGTGCCTCTCACCTCTCAGCAACTGCACAACTGGTACGGTCGCCATCAGGGTCGCGCTTCTGGAGCTCAGCGCTCTGCCATTGGAGGTACTTCTGCTGCCGTCACTGGAGCTGGGAGTGGTGCTGGTCCCGGAGGTAATCTTACTGGAGGTACTGGAGCTGCTGGGGCTGGAGGTGATGAGCCTGAGGGTGCTACTACTGGAGACCCTGGGTTTGGGGGTGCTGCTGCTGGTGACACTGAGGCTGGGGACCTTGGGATTGGAGGTGCTGGTTCTGAGGGTGCTGCTGCTGGTGGAGCTGGTCCTTGAGGAGCTGGCGCTGAGGGGCCTGGTACTGCTGGAGGTGCTGGAGCTGCTGGGGGTCCTGGAGCTGCTGGTGCTGGTGGCACTGCACAGCCGCACCTGTTCTTTGCTCCGCAGTCTCCGTCGTCTCAGCCACCTTCTGACTCTGTACTTCGCCACGTTCTTAGTCTCCCTTCGTCCACTGGTCTTCCGTTACAGCCAGGCTCACCGCTGCGTGCTCCTTCTCCTTATACTGAGCAAACAGGGGGTTTTACTGAACGTCGTGAGCCTGCGTCGCGTCCTGTCTCGCCTCTCTGTTCTGGTCATTTCGGTCGTCGTGTTCCTCGTTTGCTGCTGCCTGTCGTCTAGACTACGCCGCTAGTCTTGTTGCTGAGTCTGAGTTTGTCTGTCCTCCGTCCGTCGGGGGTGAGTGTGCTCTTAGCACGGACGTCCTTGAGGACAGGCAGGAGGACCTTGAGTGTCTTGCAGCCGTTGCGCCTCATCTCGTGTCCATGCTGCTTGCCCCTGAGGGAGACCCGGATGCTCCAGACATCCCGACCCCGCGCTCTTACGCTGAGACGATCGCGGGTGAGTACTCCTCTCGGTGGCAGACAGCCATGGACGCAGAGATGGCATCCTCGAAGTCCACATGCACCTACGTCGACAAGGATCCCCCTCCTGGGGCAAACATCGTCAGTGGCATGTGGATTTTCAGGGTGAAGCGGCCGCTAGGTTCTCCGCCTGTCTTCAAGACTCGTTACGTTGCTCGAGGTTTCAGTCAGCAAGAGGGAGTTGACTTCTTCAAGACCTTCTCCCCCACCCCGAAGATGACCACTCTTCGGGTGCTGCTGCACGTTGCCGCTCAGCGTGACTACGAGCTTCACTCTCTTGACTTCAGCACAGCTTTCTTACAGGGCAGCCTGCACGAGGAGATCTGGCTGCGCCGCCCTCCTGGCTTCACTGGGTCGTTTCCTCTTGGTACCCAATGGAGCCTCCGCCGGCCGGTCTACGGTCTCCGCCAGGCGCCACGTGAGTAGTACGAGACACTGAGGATGACACTTACGGCTCTTGGGTTCGCGCCTTTTACTGCTGACCCGTCGCTGTTTCTGCGCATCGACACTTCGCTTACGCCATTCTACATCCTCGTGTACATCGACGACTTGGTCTTTGCCAATGCGGACAATGAGGCTCTCGCCCTGGTGAAGTCGGAGCTGCAGAAGAGACACACGTGCACAGACCTGGGTGAGCTGCGCAGTTACCTTGGCTTGCAGATCACCCGGGACAGAGCACGCCGCACCATCACACTGACACACATGGTGCAACAGGTCCTTCAGCGCTTCGGCTTCACCTGGTCCTCGCCATAGCACACTCCTCTGGCTACAGGTCACTCGCTCTCAGCTCCACCTTCGGACGAGTCCGTAGAGCCGAGTGGTCCTTACCCAGAGCTAGTGGGCTGCCTCATGTACCTGATGACCTGCACTCGTCCTGACCTTGCGTACCCTCTTGGCCTTCTCGCTCGCTACGTGGCTCCTGGTAGGCACCGAATGGAGCACATGGCTGCTGCTAAGTGGGTACTGCGCTACTTGTGCAGTACATTGGGCATGGGGCTCGTGCTTGGAGGGCGGAGCCCAGTTGTCCTCACTGGGCACTTGGACGCTTCTTGGGTTGAAAACGTGGCTACACAGCGGTCGTCATAGGGTTACACCTTCAGCCTTGGCTCTGGCTCTGTTTCTTGGCGGTCTACACGCTCGTCTTCTGTTCTCGGCTCCAGTTGTGAGGCTGAGATCTACGCCACAACCATGGCTGCACAGGAGCTATGCTGGCTCACCTACCTGCTGAGCGACCTGGGAGAGCGGCCTCGTTCTCCTCCAGTGCTGTACGTAGACAACAAGGCCGCCATTGCCTTGTGTCAGGAGCACAGACTGGAGCACAGAACGAAGCACATCGCTCTGCGTTACTTCCTGGCTCGAGAGTTGTAGCAGCGAGGTCAGTTTCGTCTTGCTCACGTGGCCACTCGAGCCAACACTGCTGATATATTCACCAAGGCACTTCCGTCTGGTGATCATCACCGTTTCTGCACTTTGTTAGGCCTAGTGCCCACTTTTCCTCACTTGCTGTAGACCTTGTTTGTACACTGATATACATATATACCTACTTGCTTGCTCTGCTAGGTAGAGATCACTGTGATGCTGTTGTTGCATATATACCTCTGCATGTGAACTGGCCTTGTGGCCCTTTGCGTGTGCTCAGTGTGTGTGGTGACGTTGTGATCCACCCTGAGCTTGTTTTGTTTCTGTTGACTGGTCTTGTGATCCCTTACTCTCCCCCACTTTGCCTATGGGGGTGTGTCAAACTATAATCATGCTTGTGCTGTGTAGGCGTTAGTGGGGTAGCCCATAAGGGGTACAACCCAAATTAGGGTTAGCATATGTACCCACATCTCTGTTCAATGCATCATTCCTGCTGCTAGATTCTAACAGGTGCGGGTGCAATAATACGACGGCGGGTAATGTTGTTGGGGGCCTCACCATCTTCGTTCTCTGTTTCACAGTTGTGCGTGCTTCTTCAGAGGGGGCTCGGGAGTTGCTCCCGAGCAGAACTTCGACTCCTGAGGGGCCCTCGTCGAAATTGTCCTCAGCAGGGCGTTTTCCGCAGCGGTCGGGTGCCCCGGGCGCGTTCGGGTGCTGCGAAGTATTATCCGGGGTAGTCGTCTTTTCCGCTTCTCGATTAAGTGTAGTGTTGGCGGGAGCCATACCCGCGAGGTTGTGTTTAAGAATGTCGGTAAGAAGAGTTGACGGGGACTTAAACCGCGGGAGAGACTGTGTCTTCGGCAGGATGAACGAGAACTAGGAAAGTACCGTCATCGCCCGGATATAAGACCTATATGTCTTATCTCATACACTAAAAAAAATGCTTGGGTTATTTTGTATTTGGGGAGGTTTTGGGTGTCTTATACGGTAAGTCTTATAAATTGAAACTTTTTTTAACTACTTCAGAATATTTTCACACATCTTGAAAATAGTTTCTCATTATGAGTGTGGATGTTGCGAAGGTGCCACTTCGGCAACCATTGTTCGGGGCGCCACGTCATGGAGAATACTTGCAGAGGCAAATTTGGTAGTACATGAGACAGCACATGGCAGAATTCGCGTGTCGCAAGGGTAAAAATGTACGCGGTAGATCAATTTTCACTAAAACATACTGCAGTTTCGATTATAAGACACAGGTTTTATCTCGTACACACAAATAGGTGTCTTATAATGAGGCTAGCCTGTTATTAGACACCCGTATATTAGACAACCCCTGTCTACTATTCAACACTGTCTTATATCCGGGTGATGACGGTAAAACTAGAAATTGGAAATGAAGAACGTGGGTGGAGCTACTGAAATCACGTTCCTCTTTTGTAGGCAAAAGAGGGGTGAGTAGCGTCGAGCCGCTACCTTTGCTGCGTTGGCTACGTCCTCGCTTCCACAATAAGAAATTTTAAAGAGTGTTACACTCTTAAAAATTATATTTTTTCCTCACATCAGTCATCAAAACTGTCACACGATCCTGACAACTGAGTGCTCTACTTCTGACTACTAATTCCAGAAGATGCACACACCATACCAATCGATGTTCCTGCTCCAACAACACTGCATTGACATCTAGTGGTACAACACCCTATGCCTGTTTTCACTCTACTTTGTTACCACCTCTGAACTGAATGTTCTACATGAGCATACTCTAAAAAGGATTAAGGGTTTGACCCACCCATCAACCTGTGGTCCTGAATTGGATGGGACACCTAGTCTGAGAACCAGAGGAGAGTACACGAATACTCACAAACTGCCAGGTGCAACGACTAAAACAAAACTAAAGAAAAAAAATGCAATGCAGGAGGAGACACGCAAAATACCTTGTCTCAATTCATTACCATTTCTGGTTTGTCAGAATCCGGATGATGAGATGCACGCAATCAAGAGGGTCCCGTGCTGAGGGCAACCAAGTCGCAGTGGTGAAGGTCCTTGTGGGAACCACTTGACACACACTGGAAGGCCCTTACCAGGCCCAAAACGAAAAACAAAAGCTTCAGCAAAGCTGGCACATGCTTCTAGACAGCCACTTACCCACCCCTCAGCTCCCCACCCCTCTCCTCAATTCATCCTGACCCCTCTACACCACTACAAGCCAAACCAGCGGCCACACCTACCCAAACAGCTACAACGGAGAACTGCAACCTGGATAAACCAGTGAAGCACCCTGGAGGCTGCAGATGTGAGTGGCAGATTCACAGCAGCAAGAATGATGAACCACGCTGCCTTAGCGGTATGATGATGGGCGAAGCACTGGAGGGCGAACAGTGCAGGCATGCGACCATTCTCACCATCATAGGTTCTAGCACGCGCACAACACTCTCTGCACAAGCTGAACACTGCCATCATCTCCCACTCTAGCGATCCCTGCAAGGAGAGCAAACGACAAAAGGCAACATGCAATCTGCGTGCTTGAAAAAAACGCATCTGACAATTGCATCCCGAACTGCAGCAGTCATTCAAAACTCAAATGCTCAACTTCGCCTTCCTCTTGAGGCCTCTAATGGATGACAATGCCTAGACGGCTGAGCTTCCCAGCTCAGACAAACCTGGGAGCGTACCTCTCTCGGTCGCGCGAGCGTGAGCGGTAACTGCGGTCGTAGTCCCTGTCTCTGTCCCTCTCCCTATCCCTGTCCTTGCGGTCATAGTCCCTGTCACGATCCCTCCTGCGATCCCTGTCCCTACCCCTGTCACGGTCCCTCTCCCTGCTCCTCTCGCGGCTCCTCTCCCTGCTCTTCTCCCTGCCCCTTTCCCCATCGCGCTCCCTGCTTCTCGCCCGTTCCTCAAGCGGAGCCTCCTCCTTCACAGCCTCGGCTCGTTCAGGAGGGCCGATTTCCGCCGCCCTGGAACCATAGTCCGAGATGGGAGACCGGAATCAAACAATGGTGAAGCACGTGGGTTGGGAAGGCAGAAGAGGCAGGTAGAGGGGGTGTGGGAGGGGAACACGAAGAATTGTAAACGTGGAAGGATGGTGTGCCCAAAACGCGAGGTGAAAGAGGGATGGGAAAAGGCTACGCGAAGAAATGAAGGATAAGTGGCCCGAACGAATGTAAGTGAAAGCAGGAAACCGATGCAGGCCGAGTATGAAAGGAGACAGAGGGAAAAGATGTGGGGTGGACAGAGAAAGCTCATGGTGAAATTGAGCACAGAAGGAAAGGAGTCTAACAAGGCGTTAAGAACTCATTCCAATTCCCCCCCGGGCCTTTCCACGTCGGACAATGTCATCTTCCCAAAATCAACTCCCCCTCGCCCCCCCACCCCCACCTGCCCCCCCCCCCCCCCGCTCCAGTCTCCCCTCCCTTGCTTCCCGCACTTTTCGACAGGCCGTTCTCTCGGTCGCTCTTCCAAGCGGGGCGGCGGTGGCGGCGCAACAACAGCAGGAGGGTCCCTCCCGGAGTGCCTCTGGTTGACCTCATCGCCGCCAATGCGTGTGGAGCCCAGCCCTCCGCCGAGCCTGCGCGGGCGCCAGTTGGGCACAGTGCGCCCCCTCTCCACGTCCACTATCACGCGCCGGTTGTCGATCTTGCGCCCGTCGCCCTGCTTGTACGCCGCTGCACGGAGGACCGACGGGGGAGGACCGAGGTCGGGAGGACAGAGAGGGAGTGGGGAAGAAAAGAGAGGAAGGGAGAGGACCCAGGGAGAATGGTGTGTATGAGTGAGCGCAACGTGTAGGATAGAAAGGTGGGTAATTTCACAAAGAACGGAATTTTTGTGAGCGACGAGAATTCATGCGGGTGAGGAAAACCGAGAGGGTAGAGGTGACGCACTCTTCATGTCTCGTGTGTGGTGGTACTCGATGAAAGCGTAGCCGCGCGGCTTGTTGTCCACTGTGCTCGTCACCACACGCACCTGATGCGACACGTACGCACGCGCGCATACACGCATACACACATGCACACACACACGCGCGCGTTTGCACATGCATACACACACGCACAATGGCAGGCAAAAGCCAGACATCGGTGTAACCATTAGCACGCACACAAAGACAAACACACGACAGCAGGCAGTAGCGGATAGAGCGGCGAAGAGACGAGTGCGGTGTTGCATTCGCGGGTGCTGCAACGCGGCAGCATGAGTGGGCTTACCTTGCGGATTGGCCCATATGCCTCAAACTCTCTACGTATCTTAGTTTCCGTGGTTTCGTAGCTCTGGTGGGAACCGGCAGGGGTCGGGAAATGGGACGGAAATCACAGAAAGAACAAACACATCGTAAGGCGTACATCAAACGAATGAGTACGGGACCAGGTCGTATGTGACGGGATCGCAAGCAGGCGGAGATGAGGGATGGAGGGGAAACGAGAAGCAGGAGATGGAGATAGCACGGGAGAAGAAGCGAAAGCGGGGCAATACTTACGACACGAGCCACGAAAAGGGTTTTGTAAGGGTCGCCCTCAATGTTGGGGTCGGCAGCCGGGTTGTCTGGAGAAGACGCGGAAAGGTGGGACGCACATAGGAACCGAGGTGAGATGATGACAACGACAGCGACAGCCTGCGAAAGAGTTGGCTGTAACCACGGAGGGAACGTTAAAAAAAAACTTGAAATTTAAAGCCTGCGAGGGAGTTGGCTGCAAGGACGGAGGAAGAAGATAGAGAATCGGCTGTAAGCAGAAAGCAATGCATGCGCTTACACTCGGCGAGTGCCTCCTCGACCTGCTTGCGGCCCTTCTCCAGCTTCGCCGCGCGAATCCGCTGCTTCTTCTCTTCCTGCACGCACGCACACGCACACATACAAGCACGCACGCATGCACACACTCCATCACACACACACTCCCTCCGTAACATTTTCCCCAGTCATACTCACACCTCCAACCCCCCAGTCATACTCACACCTCCAACCCCCCAGTCATACTCACACCTCCAACCCTCCCCCCACGCCCCACCAGTCCCCAACCCCCCTCATTCCCTCACGTCATAAAACTCCAAGACAACAATCCCGCCCCGGCCGACAGAGTATCACCCCCGCCACGATGAGCCATCAACGTCAAGATACAATCCGAGACCAACACTTGAAGAGTCAGGTACTAACTAGTGGCCCCACGCAAGGGTACGATCGAGATCGTGCAACGTGGACAGTATATCCGAGCGTCGCCTGAACGACGAAGAGGGGTGATGAGCAGGATGCGACTCCAACCGCAAGAAAGATGGATGTGAGTTAGGAGCTACGCACTCTGGTCTCTCCTTTGGTGGTAGGCGGGCCGTACTCCGTCTCGTTCTGCTCCGCGAACTGGTCCACAAACTGCGCAAGGCCTGAAGACACCACGGGTGGAGGATGGAACACGCGAATCAGGAACGGGAAAGCGACAAGGCGAGTTGCAACGAATTACACGCAAACACAAGTGTGGGATACTGTATATTTTTCATCAGGAGCTAAGCGCAGGCTATGGCTAGAGGACTCACCCGTTAGCTCCGGCATCTTCCGCTTCTCCAGTGGAGCCTTGAACTCCAAGGAAGGCCGCGGCTCGAACAGCTTCAGAAGGCTTGGCGTAAGGCCAGTCGGATGGCTTTGACCGATCTGGAAAATGAGCAAGAGAGAGATAGAGCGGGGGAGGGAGGGAGGGAGAGAGAGAGAGAGAGAGAGAGAGAGAGAGAGAGAGAGAGAGAGAGAGAGAGAGAGAGAGAGAGAGAGAGAGAGAGAGAGAGAGAGAGAGAGCGAGAGAGAGAGAGAGAGAGAGAGAGAGAGAGAGAGAGAGAGAGGGGGGGGGGGGGAGGGGAGGGAGAGAGAGAGAGAGAGAGAGAGAGAGAGAGAGAGAGAGAGAGAGAGAGAGAGAGAGAGAGAGAGAGAGAGAGAGAGAGAAGAGGGGATAAGAATAGCATATCTTGGTAAAAGCAAAACAAGAACACGGGAAACAAAAACCACCAAATGAACTAACAAACAGAGAAACAAACAAAACCATTGAGAAGCCAAGAGAAACAAGGGATTGTACCAGCTTAAGTTGTTGAACGGTCGCACGATTCTGAGCCTTAGTGCGTCCTGGTGGGCCAGCCAAGTCTTTCCGCAAAAAATCCCCCATGGCGGCACCAGGGGTCGAACGAATTCTTGTGTACCCTCAGTGCAAATGGAAAACCGCGAAAACGAGAGAATGAAACGCAGCCAGATTGATCAAGGACGACGGTCAGCTCACATATGCATGTGTATGTAGCCCAGCCACGCAGTTTGGCAAAACAGAGACCAAGGCCAGAAGATCTTAGGAAAGGAGATCTCGATGTTACCTAATCTGTTTTGGTTAAGGTGGGTGGGCGGAGCGGAATTAGGGGGTTTGCGGGTGGCGGAGAGTCTCCCCAACCAGAAATACCGAGAAGTGGTTACCACTTCACGAAAAAAGTACAGAACTTACCGTATGTAAGGAACTGCGATTCTTTACTGTTCCCACTTTTTAACGAGTACCACCCAAGTGCCACGTGTCAGATGGTTCGGCCTACCTTCCCGCAACAACTCGCCCCCGCACCAATCGCAACACTTTTCGAGCCATCCTCGCCCGACCTCTTCGCCTAGCTAGGGTTTCCCCTACCGTCGCCTTCATTCCATTGTCATTCAGTATTCAACATTCTCGTTATTCGTTATTCTGCGCACTCTGCAAGTTCATTCATAACACCGTACAGCTGCTGATAACTTGCTTACATTTCAGCAAATTTTTGTTTAGACAACAAATTGCGGGAACTAATGCCTACACACAACTGCTCGAGCCATACCATTTATCATTCTCAGGACGGATCCATACGGTGTAATACTGTTTTTCATTGCATCGTAGTACACTGTGACACAACACATTAGACCACGATGAACATACAAGAACCGTACCAGGCAAATCAAGCTTAAATTGCATTTTCCCACTAACTTCATTACCTTAGACAATCATTGGTGCATGCATGCTACCGTATCTATTATACAACTCAGCTAAGACCTCCAACCAGCTATGCAGCAACATAACCTGCTGCTGAGGGAAATATATTTTTGGTTACCACTTTTAACGCTCAATCTACTCAACAAACACTAGGAGGCTGGTTCTCAAAGAGTATGGCGAGGAGCCAACACTTCGCAGACAAAATTACAAGGGATAAAGTCAACCGCTTGCAGCCGAGCTAGGCTATCATACTATTCAGGCCTATGAGAAACCTACTTAAAGTACCTCGTCTGCAGAACATGTATCATAACCGTATTCAAAGAGATTCTTCACTCAGTTCTGTGCTTCTGTGCGCCGCGTTAACAGAAACGCGATATGTGTTGTTGAGCGAGGCTCAAGGTCGCTCCTCGAGATCGACGCACGATCTACGGAGAAGACTTCCTCGTGTTCACCACGCTCGCCGTCGCCTCGTCAGCGCGAGAGTCGCTCACAGAGGCAAGGGGATACCATGACTCGTAACAAGGCTGCTGCGCGGTGCCAGTCGTCGACATGTAGGTTGCGCGTGAGTGGTGTCTGTTCTCTAAACCGGTTTAGGTTGAACAGGACGCAAGCTTTGCAATGTAGGGAAGAACTCTTTTGTGCTCCGATCTGGAAGACAGTAACGTCGCCTCTTTCATCAACGACTTTGCGATGAGAACATATCCCCGCTGCCTCTCAAGTGACGGCTGCCGTCTGTTTGCGACAGGATCTCCCCTGCTGCACTGTCGCCGTGCGCAACGCCGACGACATACGACGGGCTTTCCAACGCTTCGCGTACGGCAGCCTGTGACTCCACCTCTCCATTCGGCACCACAGGCGAGCTTACAACAAGATGAGTGCTTTCGCCATCGCGTAGCCAATCAGGATTCTCGGATAGAGCAGCTGCGGAGAGTCTCTCGTCCATGTTCTCAAACAGGAAGGGTTCGTCCTCGCTAAAAACGACCATCTCATTCAGCATCTCCAGTTTCGATATAGCACACGTTCGTGGCGTCGTGGCAAGGAGCGCGGACGCCAGAGCAAGTGTAAGAGGAAGAAGTCGCGGAAGGGCTAGAAAGTGGCGAGCCATTGGTGAAAAATTTACTGGAACGAAGTGAGGTCCGAGAATGTTACGAGAGGCCAAGGTCGTCAGCTTTTGGACAGATTCTACGGTGGGTGGGCAAACGAACTGGGGGGAGGATATAAGCTACAAATTGAAGCAGAGTGGATTGTTATCAGCAGGCAGCTGAGCGAGGGGTCGCGGTTTGCACATTTCATGCCCTACCCTTGACTGGACCTCAAAACCTGGATACTGTACACCGAACCGAATACTGCGCGCAGCGGGCGCGCTCGATTGGGGTACACGTACGCCAGCAGGCGTTGTTTGTGATGGCTTGGGCTGGGTGTCAGGGAGAGGGGTTTCGCCCGTGCTTCAAGGAAAGACCCTTTTGCGGTGCTGTAACGTTTTCTTCTTGGGCTTCAATCGAAGGCACCAAAGACAACCAATCCTCTCTCAACTCTGATCCATCCATCGTTCCTCTCGTCAGCCGACCAAATGCGGATCGCACCCGGCGGTGCGTGCCTTCAAATTGTGCAGATTGTCGGTTAGCCACCCGCCTCGAAACGAAATTCGCGGAATTCCAATTGACCAGTAACCATAGGTAACGACGAGGCTTGCCATCGTAGTTCGCCAATCTCAAACCCCAGGATCTGAATGGCTAAAACGGTTGGATTCCTGACAAAAACCAAAAATTGTTGCTGGAGCACCGCCAAATAGCGCGGGAGATGAGGCAGTACTGCCTTCGACGAAACGTCTTGTTGCGTTCAGTGAACCCTCCGCCAAATAGTCTTTAGAGGTGGCACCGTATCAGTCTGAAGAGAGGGGGGAAAAAAAAACAGCAACAACAACAACATTATCCAGTGTCCATTTTTTGGGTTGCGTAGCAACCCTACATAATTAGTTTCACTTTTTGGGAGTATCCTTTCACTGTTATGAGTTGTAAAGAGTGCGCAGGTAAACGAATAACGAGGCTGTGACTGAATGAATTCGAGAATACAATGAATGCACAGTCTAGGAGGAAACCTCGGGAGATGAGGTTGGGTGCAGGTTTGGCGATGGGAATGCCGAAGGCGACGCGAGGAGCCTCGGCAGCGTTGAAATCGGCCGAACGTGCGAACTCCGAAAATCGGGTTGTACGCGAAGCAGTCAACCCCGATAAGGAATTCGGGAAAATTCCTTCCACTACCCCCCCCCCCCCCCCCGTTAAGAAAGGCGGTCAACACCCGCGACACGCTTGCGCGCCAAGTAATCACCAACAAGTGGCGAGGCGTCGAGTGAGGTGGATGGCACCTACGTGTCGTCCTCGCTGGTGCGATCAGTCCAGCGGATCAAGAAATCCACGTGTCGGCCAGCTGCGTCAAGGCGAACCCGATGAGCCAGGATTTTCGAAGGGTCAAGGGTCGGCTCCGGAACAGGTCGTGCTGTTGGGACAGCCTGCTGACGGGCGATGTCGGTCGTGGCTGGCACGAACTTGCGAAGAAGGCTGACGTGGAAGGCGTCATGAATTCGCCAGTCGTCGGGTAGCAACAGCTTCGCGGTGACAGGTGTCACCATCTGGATAATCTTGAACGGCCCGCAAAATCGTGGCCGTAGTTTCGACGGGCCGGGCAGGTGCAGGTTCTTCGTGTCAAGGAGCACTAATTGCCCAGTGGTCAAGACGAGTTCCCGTCGTAGAAGATCTGCGTATTTGCGAGAAGTGATATTCGCCTTGCGAATTGCGTCGGCGGCCTTCTCTCGGGTTTCCTGGAGTCCCGTCATAAAAGTTTGTGACCGCGGGATCGGGTTGTCGAGAGAAGTCGCGGTAGGAACCGTCGGGTCCATCCCGTAATTCAGGAAAAACGTGGAGTGGTTAGTCGTGCTGGACGGTGCGTTGTTGAAAGCAAATTCCAACATTGCCAGAGAATCTTCCCAGCGGGCCGGGTCGGGGCAGTTTATTCTGATCAGCTGCTCCATGGTCTGATTGGTCCGCTCTGTTTGACCGTCCGTCTGTGGGTGATATGCCGTTGAGAGCTGTAGCTTCGTGCCGTACTACGCCCACGTCTCCTTCCAGAACTTGGATGTGAATCGCGGGTCTCGGTCGCTGATGATCGTCAAGGGGATGCCGTGCAGTCGCACAACCGTGGAAATGAGAAGTCGCGCAGTTTCTTCGGCTGTAATTGTCGTTCGGCATGGTGCGAAGTGTGCCATTTTCGTGAAGCGATCGACGACGACGAGAACAACGTCGTTGCCGGACGGCCCAGCTGGCATCCCCGTGACAAAATCCATCGTCACTTGCTGCCACGGTCGTTCGGGTGGCTCGAGGGGTTGCAGCAGCCCAGCTGGTCGTTGACGTGTCGATTGTCAGAATGTTATCTTTGTTTTCTAGCCTGCAGTGGGGTACTCTATAGCGAGTATAACCCCTTAGGGTTTCCTATATGTATCCTGTTGCTTGCTAGTGCAACCCCTCTCTTTTGCCTAAACTATTCTTGCCTAGCTAGGATAGTCCTAGCTATGGCTTCCACTCCTTACCACCTACTTTTACATGGTTATCAGAGCAGTAAGCTCCTGGCCTGTGTGCCTAACCACAATCCTTCCGCTGCAACTGCTACTCTCTCTTTCCGCCGTGCGTCCCGAGGCGAGCGGCGGTTTTCTGCCCGCCGTGCGCCCCGAGGCGCGCGGCGGTTCTCTTCCCGCCGTGCGCCCCGAGGCGCGCGGCGGGTTACTACCCCGTCATGCCGCGCGCTGCTCCCGGGAGACGCTGCGACGGGCGACGGGGACCCGCGCGTCGCCCCCCCCGTCGCCCGTCGTGGCCTGCGCACGGCCCGTACAGGCAGCGCGCGGCCCGTACGGGCTGCGCCAGGCCCGCGCATGACCCGTACGGGCGGCGCCAGGCCCGCGCGCGGCCCGTATGGACGGCGCCAGGCCCACGCGCGGCTCGGGCCGCATGCGCGCGGCTCGGGCGTCCCTACCATGCCCGTGGTGGGCCTGTTCCTCCCTGCCCCTTCCCTCCCCGCTGTCCCCCAGTGCTTCAACGGGCGCCCCACCCCTCATACTCCCCATTCTCCTGCATTAGGGTTTGGGGGTGAGGGGTATGGGGGTGACCTTACTCTGTACC